CATCGGAATAAAATACGTGGTAATGAAGGTCACAACATTTGTTTGGTCACGTGACCTGTTTTATATAGATAGGTTGTCGGTGTACTAGAGAGTGTTTACTCATATCGCATCATATGTGTACAAACTTAAGGGGGAGGGGATACTTCCTCTCTGTTGCTATTGACGACGGTCCGTACATGTCTCACTGGACCGCAAAAATCCCCGGATGTTCATATTCTAAAGTGTGTGTTTGATTGGCGGGCGGATGTAGGCATGTAATATAACGCAGTACTGAACTGTTGCTGTTTTAATGTTGCATTTTTATGGTCAGCAATGCAAATTACCAGCACGCATTTCGAACTTCAGACACCGGGACAAAACATCGAAACAATGTCAACTGATTAATGACATGACTCGGAACTGAGACTTACCAAACTTTATTTAGGTTGTTTGCATAGATGCTCATCGAATAAGAGTTTACAGTATTCAACGCATATTAATTAACTATTTTTTCAAACTATAACTGTTTCAATTAGGTTATGTTTTGAATGAGTTGAAACTAGGTACATGCTGTTTGTGAAGATAAATAACTGATAATATTTTATAGAACTATGCATATTAAGTAGCTTGTTTGCATGCTAATTACATGTAAAGTATTATATCAATACAAGAAAAAATTATTCATAAGTATTTCGCATAATTAGCAATAAATTAGCACACGGGAACGCATTCAGTTCATATTGAAAAAACAACAAGATTTTCTCATCTCCATGGAAACCAATAATAGCATCATAACCAACGTATATTGTGAATGTAAGTTATAATAATTAATAATTTACATCAGGGGTATGGAACCACAATTTGTTAAATGATTTGAATAGCCGTATTTAAAAAAAAAATCTTCTGTATGCTGTAGTTATTTAAAGCGGGAGGGTCGTCACCTGCGCACGCGCGGGAATTGAGTCCCAAGCGACGATAACAACACACGCTAAAAACGCAAAGGCTCATGGGTAGACGCTTGTTTGTAAACAGTGACACGCTATGGCCATCTGACGCATGCACAGGTGACGACACCACCGCTCTAATAAGCAATCGACACCTTTTGAACTGGGCTGGAAACATGTTTTGTAGGTAGTTTTGTGGTTTTAATGCACACCTACAAGCAAACATTTTCAAGGATACCATCAATATAAGTATTGAATATCTTTCATATATTATAGACACTTTCGTTCAACAGAGTTTCAAGAGCTTGAGTCCATACTATCCCGCGCAATGTTCGAGAACCGCCCCTTTCTGAATACCACTTATACTACTACCCTTACCTCGCCGAAAAATTGTTTCAGTTGACCATTTGTCAGTTGTCCTGGCTTTTTCTGCTGTGGCGTTTCTGGAATCGATGTAAACAACGCAGGATTAGGTGCTATTTCAGGAGCTTGAAGCATTTTGCAGGAGTGGTTATGAGTTAATGGCGGTGGCGTGATTGTTAACTATCCGTAAACACTAAATCGACGCCCCTTGTTATGTATATGATGTCGAGGTTCCTGTGACATACTAGTAAACAAGGGCAGAGGTCATCATTTGTTCAAACAATAATTTATCAAACAGCACATGGATTCGTCACATTTCATACAGGAGCTTTTAAAATGTCGACATTAGATATCATAGATTGGTTGACTCAGTCACAACTTCACCATATATCCTCTTCTGTATATCCGGGTTTTATTGCATATCTCATCACCCCTCTTTTCTGATTTCCCTTCTCACCATTATTAAGTAGTCATCTAATACCTAATCTTAGCATAGGTACGGGCATCGTGTCAAGGTTATCGATGTCCTCGATAAGATTTGTGTCAGTAAAGAAGTTTCTTTAAGGATCAGCAAAGTTAATTTATCTACGTCATATTAACCGCAATGATGTAAACAACAACATTGCACTGTACAGTGCTGGTGTAACCTGGTAATAACCTCATAATGATATATGCATTGTTAACAGAAAAAAATGAATACCTAAGTTATGGTTTGAAGTGTATAATATAACTATTATTTGATATAACAAAGCGAAAACTACCATACGGTATTTCCCAGAGCCCACTATCACACTCCATACATATGACTGCTTACCTTACATGGGGTATTATATTATTGAAAAATAGTACCCCACCTTATTACATATGTACTGCAGTTTACTTTGATTCGTCACGAAATCAAAATCGGTATTTCCACACCTCATATGCAAATGAGGTCTGAGAGCAAACAAAGTTGTCCCTTCAGGAGTACC